GTAGTTACAGGTGTGGCATGACTATGTCAGAAAAACAAGACTGCAAAGCATAGTAGATGATAAACAAATAAAAGTATTGTTGTTGTTGTTGTTATTTTGAGAGCTGAATTCAAATCTTGACTGCTTGGGCACCTAACAGCTGTGTGCCCTAGCTAAGTCATGGCACCTCTCTGAACCTCCGTTTCTACAGCTACGAAATGGTAATGCCAGCAGCCACCCCCAGAAAGGGGCTGCTGTGAGGTGCCGAGTGGTCCACCTGAGGGTCAGAAAGCACGTGGGGGCCAGTCAATCACCTCACCCTCTGCTTCCAGCCGGCTCAGCAGCTTCCCTCCAGTACAGCTGGCCCGCGCTCCAAGCGGCCCAGGGGTCTGTGATACTTATTTTTAATTGTTCTGGCTTCAGAGTTGAGGCCTCTAACTCTAAATGGCTCCTCTTGCCCTGCAAAAATAGGTCGTTGGCAGCGCGAGCCTCCTGACAGGTCCCACACAAAGGCGGCCAGGCCTGGCCTGCTGATGCCAGCCCAGGGCTATGGGAATCAAGAGCCAGCGTGGGCAAGGCTGTCTCAGCAGCACGGAGTCTCTGCAGGCCGCAGCATGCCTGGCAGAATGGCCCTGGTCAAGTCAATGTCTGTCTGGCCTTGTTCCTTTCATCTGGAAACACAAAGGGGATGGTTGGGGGCCTCAAGGAGAGAACGTGGATCTTAGGGCCTGGCACACACTGGGATGCTTTTTATCACTCTTACAGAGGCCTAAACCTCCTGAGATTGCATTCACATCCAGGCCACTAGTAGCCACTCATATTAAAAGTGTCTTTGTTATTTCTTTTTCATAGACTGAGGCAAAAAAAAAAAAAAAAAAAAAAAGCCCTGGTTGCTTAAGCCAAATCACTTGTGTCTTATCTTTGAAGTCCCCCAATTCTTCCCCTCCTCCTGCTCATTCAAGTCTCCTCTCTGGCACTTCCCCAACCCCTTCCCCTGTACCACAACACACACACACACACACACACACACACACACACACACACACGAAAGAATGAAATTAAATCTTCATTGTGCAGACTCATATAAAGGATTCCTTGGCTGCCGAGTGAGGCATGGACAGGAGACAGGGAAGAAATGTCCATCAGTGAGAGGACACACACACCTCCCCATCTCGCCTTTTGGAAACGCATTGCCCCTCTTCATGGGTACCTGTGGCCCTTCTCTATTTATTCCTCCCTGGAGTACTGATGCCCACCTGACATGTGAAGCATTACAGGTCAATCCGTCAGCTCCGTGAGCACAGATGTGCGCCTGGTTTGTCTCTAGCAGCCGCCACATCACCACTGTCAGGCACGCAGTAGACACTTAATGCATACTGGTAAGTGCATGCACGAATAATATCTGAACTAAAGCACCCAGACTGACGGCTATGATGGCTGGCTCATATCAATTATCTGTCATCATCTGTGTGACCCAGGCAGGCTGTACCTTGCCCATTTAGTTTACACATTTGCCCACGAATCTCAGTGGACTCACAGTAGCTGATGGGTGAGCACAAGTGACTTTTCGGTGGACAAATGTCAACTCCCCCACACTTGGATGTGAGAGTGAAGGGGTAGTTTGGAAGCTCTGCTGAGCGCCTTTGCCAAGGATGCTATATATAAACAGCAGGTGGTACAATGCTTATTTTTCCTAATCCCCCGGTTGCTAATCCCAGGCAGCTCTGTGTCTAGCAGTGTGTGCCTGCCCCAGAACTATGAGCGGCACAGGGCAGGAGGCTGCATCACCTCTGACTCCAGCAGTAGGACCTTCCCCCGCCTACCCGAGGCAGATTTTGGAGGAGAATTTTCACAAGGCTTCACTGGACACCTCCATGGTCCTGCCAGACATAATCCAGAGCTGGAGACTCTCCTCCCGGCAGCCTACCTTTATGCTAGAAGCAGGCCATCTTTCTTGCCTAGTCCCCTGACTCCAGACCCTTCTCCCTCCAGCCTTCCCTGATCCAAGCAAAGTGGCCTCTTGAGCATGTAAATCAAACATGGTAGTCCCTACTTGAGTCCTGCCTGCAGTAGCTCCCAGTTCTCTTGGTCTTCTGGACTGCCCTCCAGACATGCTGGTTACATACTGTCGTCCTCAGCTAAATGAGCTAACACACATGTGCCATGTGTGCCCATATACTCCTCACCAGACCTTCTCTGCTCATTCTTTGTTGTGTTGTTGTTGTTGTTGTTGTTTTCAAGACAGGGTCTCTCTGTGCAGCCTTGGCTGGCCTGGAACTCGCTCTGTAGACCAGGCTGGCCTCGAGCTTACAAAGATCCGCCTGTCTCTGCCTCCCAAGGGCTGGGATTAAAGGCGTGCGCCACCACCGCCTGGCTCTCCGTTCATTCTTTCGGCTTGTGTGTGTGCCTGCGTATTCTACTAGACTGTGAGTGGGTTCTTGTTATAATCCCCTAGGCCCAAAGAAACACAACTAATATTCCTGCTAGGGCTGCCCTGTGGTCGGTCCCTCAAGGACTGCTGCCAAACACTTCACAAACACTGCCCTTGGTACATGGTAAGCTCTTCTTAAAACACAGTGCAAATATCAACTAGTGTAACCCTCCCGATGGCAGTTCTGGGTCGCTGCTCCCCCCAGAACTGGTTGCTTTAAAGGAAGCCAAAACACAGAAACAAGGTCTGTCTCCAAGTCTGCAGCTTCTAAGATGGGGAGAAAGGATCTAAACCTTGGAAGCTGGTCCCCGTGCCCAACAGCTGCACCCCGCCTGCCTCTCTGGAAGAAAGAAAAAAAAAAAAAAACAGAACCAGGCTTTTGGCCAGAGGTGCAGAGGACAGAGGGGTGCCATTGCACCAGGAGCTTTCTACTGGAGACCTGGCCTTAGGCAATCATCCTCCCTCCCTGAGCCTCAACATCCTCTTTATTAAGAGACCGAGCCAGCAGGGCCTGCTTTGCTTCATTATGTCCCTCAACTGCCGTCGTGGGAGGCAAAACTGGCTATCCCTGAACTTCTTTCAGCTCAGAAACTCTCCAATTAGTAGAGGGTCTTGATTCCTCTTCCTCACCTTGGTGCACAGCCTTCTGCAGATGACCAGGCACTTGATCTGACTGCTTCCAGTGTTCCCTCAAGGAAACCTGGAGCCAGGGTGCATGTTGCATCCAGAGGCTCTGTCCTTTGGGATTAGCTCTCCTTTCTCTGTCTTCCTCATTAGGGTCACTATTTTGCAGCCCAGGCCTCTCCCAAGCACAGTTCTGCCTGTGCCCTCCCCAACCTCAATCTACTCTCCCTGATGAGAAGGCCTCTGGTCAGTCTCCTCCCTAAGGCCCAGCCCTACCCTTCTTTCTCTGACACAGCTTTCTTGCTGCTCCTCTCCCCCAGCGCGTCTTTACCAAGAGGCACTGAAGTCCTTCCTACACACACGCTATTTTTGTACCATCACTCTCTCCTTCCTCTCTCCCCCTTCCCCCTGCATTCACTTCCTGCTTTTGCTCTACCTCGGGCCAGCTTGGAAAGATTTGGGCCCCTAGGACCCACACCCACCGGGAGGCCGACCTTCTGCTTTGGGACACATGTACAAGGCCTCTTGGGGAGGGGCAGAAAGCAAGCCTCCCCGCCTCCTCCATTCTCTACCCTGGGCCAGGGCGCCACGGGCAGCCTCTTGCCCACTGGAGGCGAGGACTGGCCAGGGTGAGAGGCCGAGGCCAGGGGCGATCGGCCGCCACTTCCCCAGTCCACCTTAAGAGGACGGAGTAGCCAGCCCGCGGCGCCGACCTCAGAAAAACAAGTTTGCGCAAAGTGCTGCGCGGCCAGCCTCTGGGCAGCGGGAGCGGTGCTTCCACCGCCTGGCAGCCCTGCGCGCGGCGGCGCAGGTCCGAGCGGCTGGCGGGGACCCGCACGGGCAGAGCGGGCTCGCGCAGAGCCGAGGCGGGCGGCGCAGCTCGCGGGGCGCACTGGGGCGCGGGCGGGAAGGTGCGGGCGCAGGGTGGGGGCGCTCGGCCGGGCCGCCCTCGCGCTGGCCTCGCGACGGCTCCGCGCAGCCCGCACTCGCTCTGCGAGCTGTCCCCGCTCGCGCTCGCTCTCCGTGCTCGGTCCCCGCTCCCTCTCCCTCTTCCTCTCCCCCTCGCTCCCTCTCCCTCGCTCTCCGCTCCCCCGCCCCCGTGCCTCTGGCTCTGCGCCTGGCTCCCTCGGGTCCGCTCCCCTTTCCCGCCGGCCTGGCCCGGCGTCACGCTCCCGGAGTCTCCCCGCTCGGCGTCTCTTTGTAGGAGGGGGTCAGATCACCCCGCCGGGCGGTGGCGCTGGGGGGCAGCGGAGGGGGAGGGGCCTTAGTCGTTCGCCCGCGCCGCCCGCCCGCCCGCCCGCCCGCCTGCCGAGCGCGCTCACCGCCGCTCTCCCTCCTTGCTCTGCAGCCGCGGCCCATGGAGCCCGCCGGCCCGGCCCCTGGCCGCCTAGGGCCGCTGCTGCTCTGCCTACTGCTCTCCGCGTCCTGTTCCGGAGCAGGTAAGCACCCTCAGCTCCCACTGCCACCCTCCCCAAGCTGCGGGCTCAGGCCCCGCACACTGCCGCTCAGCTCCTGTCGACAGATGCCTGTAACCGGGGTTACAGAATTGAGGCCCAGAGAGGGTCAGCCACTTGCCCAAGGTCACATAGCCCAGGCTAGAAAGCCAGGATAGAACTCTTCTTATACGGATCTGCCCTGTGGACTGTGACTGTGCAGCCCTGCGCTAAGCAGCAAGGTATAGGAATGAGTTGGTGTACCGTACCCCTTGCCCAACCCGAATGAGGAGGCAGGCTGGCCATAGCTTTCGGCAGTAGGGCGCCTGGCTTCCCCAGTTGCTCCCTTGCTAGACTTGATTGGAGAGAGGGTGGGGGGCAGAGGTCCTCCCGCGCTGCTGGGCTGTTGGGATGAGGGAAGAGTGAGCTCTTCCCCTAGTACCAGAGCAAGCAGTGTTAGTGTATGGAGGTGTGGGAGAGAGGAAGAGAGGCCTGGGTAATCAACAGACCCTTGGGAGACACAGTGAATTTACCTGTGGTGGCACAGCCTCTCCCTGGATGATCTCCTTCCGCTACCCTCCTGCCTTCCTTAGGCAGGCTTCTAGAAGGTCCCTGCAGTTCCCGCATGTACCTGTGGCTCTGAGCTTGTCTTCTTTGTTAGTCTACATCAAACACCTGGCTGTCTCCCGCAGGAGGGCTCTAAAGGCCGGTTGGCCAAGGAGTGAGGTCACCGTTCAGGAGTCCTGCATCTTAAAGGGGTTTTGCAAAAATCCTGGGTCTCTCCTGAAAGGATAGGAAGGCCGGAGACACAGCTGGGGAGAAAGAGAAGGGGGCCTTATTTAGGGTCTTCTTGGATCGGTGTTATGGGCATAGGGATCCCGGTACCACCTGGCTTTTGCAGGGAGGTAAAGATGTTCTCAGCACTCCCTCCTCACCAACACTTGCCTAGAGCCTGGCATATGACAGCAGTGTAGAAAGAGGAGAGAGAGAGAGCCAGCCCCAGGGAAGAGAGAACAAGCAAGCTGGAAGAGGTGGGGTAGCCAGGAGCTCTCTCTGCTGCCCTGCAATTTCCCCTGATACCCAGGAACCACCAAGTGCCCCTCCCCATTCATAGTTTTCAGATACTGTTGGGTCTTTTCAGGACTAATTGATGAATTTCGCCTCTCTCCTGTGAGTGGCTCTAGGGTCTGATCTGCTTCCTCCTGCCTCCTTGCCAAAGTTCCAGCCATGCCCTGCCGTCCTCCAGGGCTTGGGAACCCACAGGTATCTCTCAGAAGTACAGAAAGCTGGGCCCAGATTAATATCCAAATGCTTACTCTAGACCTCTTTCTCACCAGACCCCTATGGTTCAGTCGCTGGCAAATGGGTAGTGGTTAACAAGTGTTCAACCCAGCGGGCTACCCTTCCTGGGTACTGACTAGGAGAATGACAGCACCTTTCTTAAGAGCATATCTATCCCCCGCTTCCCCACCCTCACCCATAAAAACTATCTATAAAATGGTAAAGATGGACCTTCCGTTCTCATCCCTTCGGCATCAATAACCTGAAAGGGTGGGAGCCGTGGAGGGACATAGGTTAACTTCATAGCGTAAGTATTGGGAGGTGAGAATGTGATTCTCGGTGAGGAAGGGATGATGTATGGCCATGGAGCTGCAGCCTTCCGGCAACCTGCACATTTAGTCCGCTGGGGCTCAGCATCAAATTCACATCTTTCCTATGGGAGGGGACTTGAGCCCCGGCTGGACTTGGCCTTCCTTGTTCGGGGGGGGGGGGGGGGGGGCGTGTGATTTACAGGAAACAAGGGGTAAGATAGAAGGACAGGCAGGTAGAAGGCGGTTGTCCAGTTTTCTAGGAAAATGGATTTGTTTGAGCAGGAAACCCAAATGTCAGCTTCAAGAAGACAGCTTTGAGTGGAATGACTGCTGTCTCTGGCAGAACTGTCATCCTGGGAGGTGTCATGTGATGGCTGGGCTTCACAAGATCACTGCTTGGGTGAAGGGAGCTGGTCATGTGAATTATTGCCTCCGGGAGGCAGGAGAGGAAGTTTCTAAAGATTGCACTTGACATAAATGATGCCAAAGGAAAATTCTAAAAAGACTCCGGTGAAGTCACCACCGTGGGTTCTTGCAGCCTGTGTAGGGGCCAGCCCTGCTGTTCCGAACGACGTGGGGGCAGGCCTCACAGTAAACTACAGGATGCTCACCTGGCCCTCGCTGGGCCTGAGCACTGGGAATGGACTCCTTTGCTCCAGTAGGAGGTGGCTGAGGGAAGTTGAGGTTCCAGCTTTGAGGGGCAGTGGGCCCCTTCAGTGAACTTGTGACCCTTGGGTAGACGGTAGCATGCTGGCGGCTCCTCTGGGCTTTCCTCAGCACTACAGCTGTTCTTACTTCCTCTTTCATAGGAAAAAAGGGGGTGGAGTGGGGGCCAGCTTCGATGTTTGACGTGCATAGGTAAGATTCATTGAAGGCTCCGTGTTCTCTGGGGGCTTTGTGGCCATTAATTATCCCTGCCCCCATCCCATGGGGACACATGGGCTGATTTTTCTTGCTTGCAGTCACTCAGTCTGTAAGAAGTCCTGATTCGGACTGTGTGTTGATGAGGGAGGAGAACCCATGTTTATTAAGTAGCTAACTGCATTCCAGGCCTGGTGCTTTGTCTGCACAATCCCATTTACCCGCATGTGCCATTTGGATCTTCTTCCCAGGGATGTACAGATGAGGAAAACTGAGTCCAAAAGTTGTCCCAGGAGTAAGTGGTAAAGGAGCCAGAATTCTGGATACAGCTTCTGGTGGGAGGAATAAATGACTTAGGAGTATGCAGTCCACACTGTTGGGGTAAAGAAGAGCCACCTGAGGCTTAGCTGGAGAATTATGGGAAGGCTCCTGTAAGCAAAGGGTTTTGGTCCAGTCTCCCTGAAACCCGCTGGGTGTGGAACCGGCAGCCTCTTGGCTTCACAGATGACACGCACGGGGAGCGATGTGGCTTGAACAAGAGGCCCCATCTGGGCTGGTGAGCTCTGGATTCCCTAGCACTGGAATGTTCCTCCCTGCATCTTGCCCTTTGCAACAGATGGAGAACAGTGGGCGAAAGGAAGGGAGTCTAAGAGTGCTGAGTGGATCCCACACGCACCACCTCGCTACTTGCAGGGCCTGCGTGTGACAGGTTCCTTCTTATTTGTCATCATGGGCTGATGGAAGAGGACCCTCCTTAACGTGCTCAGACGCCTGGCTCTGGAGACAGCTCTGATCATGTTATCAAGTCACTCCCCAGCTCTAAGTGGCAATCCCTTGAACCAAATTTCCTAGAAAAAAAAAAAAAGAAAGAAAGAAAAATAACATCAGGGCCTGGGTGTTCCCTACCAGACCTCAGTTCCTACTTGTTTTCCAACAGGCATACATGTTCATATGCTGTGTGGTAACAGGGCTTCTTCACTGCAGACTGAAGCCTGGCTGGCCACTCACACACACCCAAAAGACCAGGGGAATCCCACGTGGGAGACCACCCAGCTGTTCCAGTGTTGGCCCACCACATGAATAAGAGGCATTTGATTTGTACAATATCTGTAAATATGCAACCTAGTTTGGCTCTTGGACAAATCCATGCCCCCAGCTAGCCTCTTATCTCTCTACTTTTGCTCCTGCTGTTCCATCAGAAATGACCTTTCCCGTACTTCCTTGCCTCCCCTTGTCTGAATCCTCATCCTTCCAGGTTGCTCTACATGCCTCCTGCTCCAAGGAACTAACTCCTCTGACCCCATCCCATGATTTCATCTGTTCCTCTCTGAGGCTACTTATTACTTCTTCTTTGTTTGGTGACTGTGTGCATTGCGTGTGTAACTCTCAGATCTGCTTCTGCAGGCTCCCTGACTGTTAGCCTCACCATGTACACACAACAGTGCCAAGACCCCCCTGGGAGTCAGGCCTGGTCCTGCCACCTACTTGAACAATTTGCTGAACTTCCCCGCGTCTCCTTTTTCTCCTCTAGAAACGAGGGATGTCATTAACGGCTCTTTCTCAGGGAATAAGTCAATTAATGCAGATTCAGATGGTGCTTGAAGCATGCCTGGTGTCTGTAAGCTATCATACAAGCACTGCTGTATGCTTTTTGACATGCTCGTCCTGGTACCTGTTAGCGATCATGCAGCCAGTGTTTTATCCTGTTTGACTTGCTCATATGTAAAGCTGGGGTGGATTTTTGTAAAGCAATCACTCTAGCATGGCCCCTGCACGTAGTGGGCACTCAGAAGACAAGGACCACGAGAAAGTACATGTCAGTATGACTCAGTGATCTCTTTTCCCCTGAAGCTTTCTCCTGGGGGATGGACAGGTTGTAAGGAAACCAGCACTGTGATCTAATTGCCTTGTTAGTGCCAATGAGCTCTGGACCCAACCTGACTCTAGGTGTCTCCCTCTGGACTCAGTGTCTGGAATTGTGGCTTCCCAACCCTGGAAAGCTGGAGGGGGCTGGGAGCTGCTCCCTGTGCAGTGGGATAGAGGGCTGACTGAGCTTAGCACAGGTCTCCAGATGCAGAGTCAGGTCAGGCCAGACCCAGGAGGGAGATGCCAGGCCTCCTACAATACAGGCCGACACTTTTAAAAGGGGGCTGGGCATTTCCCCTGTAAAAGTCAGAGTTCTCACAGGATCCTGAATTCTGTGAGAAAGTGCTAAAAATAATCACCATAATCGTGGCCTCCATGCTATTGTGTGTGATCCTACTGTGTGTGATCCTACTGTGTGTGATCCTACTGTGTGTGATCCTAGTGGCTCTCAGAGCTACCCTGGAGGGTGCACCATTGATGATTGATCATCTAACCCACTTGACCAGCGAGGACATGATGGCTCAGCAAGGTGTCTGCATCGGATGGCCACCCAGCTCAATCAGCCTAGGCTTCAAAGCCTGTGCTCCACCATGTTTTAGACATCTCCTTGCTTTGCTTGACAAGTAGGGTGGCTGACGACCAGGGCTTCCAGCACCCTGCTCCCTTGGGACATCTCATATAGTTTTATCGATCAGTGTATCCACCAGGAGATGAGGACAACGGATGTTTCCAACATGTGCTTCCATCTACGTGCTGGAGAGGGGTCTCTTAGGATGGCTGATGCTGTTTTTCTGTTCGCACGGGCTTCCTGGAACCCTGGCAGGATGGGTCTTCCCTGTCGAATGGCTTGCCAAGCTTTTGATCCAGGAAGATGTGGAACAGCAGAGGCAGAAGTGGAAAATGTACAGCATGGTCCTTGGTGCCAGCAGGATTTCCTGGCACATCCATTTGGGGCTCCAAAGCTGCAGATGAGTTCAGTAGCTGAGGACATGCGGTGCTGGGGTCGGAGGAGATTGGATGCTGGGGTGAGCAGCTGCTGGAGAAAATGGCTAGAATAGGTGATGGCCATATCGGGACTATACAGCCCCATTCTCCAAGCCAACCATCTATATCTTCCAGAAATGGAAGCATAAGGTGGCAGAGAATGCTTAGTGTACCTGTCCTTGGCATAGAACACATGTTGTCTTCCCATATTCTTCCATTTTGGGGAACTTCAGACATGATGTGCGAATTGAGAAGGAATGATGTAATGGCCCCCAGCCTCGATGCTGAACAGCTTTCTGCCCTTCTTGTTTCTCCTGGCCTTGCTGGGTGATGGGAGCAGAAGCAGGGAGTCTCGCACAGTGAATGTTGGACACAGCCATTCCTCATGGATGCTCAGGTTGCATGTCTACCTTTGCGCTGTTGTCTGATCCTCACAGAGAGCCCAAAGTATGGACTTGACCCATTTTATAGATGAAGAGACTGAGGCTCCCAAAAACCAAGTGGGGCTTCTTCCAAGCCGCTCAGCCAGCTAGAACCCAAACCATGGTCTGTTTACTCTTATTGCTGTGATGCCCTTATTAGGGTAATTTTAATTGTATTTGTGCAGTATTTTTGAGCATGTGATCAGTGGCAGTGGGTTGAACAGCTGCTGTGTGGTTCAGGTACCTGGAGATGTAGCTGTGAATAAGGTAGGCACATCCCCTGCCCTCGTGGAGCTCACATTCCACTGAGAAAGCCAAAACAAACCTAAGTGAATCGATGGAGTGTTGTCTATAGGTCATTTCCAGCTTTGCTTGTTTTGTTCTTTCATTCCCCTCCCCCAGCTAGGATCGAGGCTATGTGAGTGTAGAGACGGTGATGCTGAGCCTACTGGGACCTTAGCCCAGGATCTGGCCCACAGTGGGGGCGTTAATCTACATTCGTGGAATAGAGGGATAACATGGGTATGAAAACCCCCTTTTAGAAGAGAAGGGCTGGGGACCATAAGGTTGCACGGACAAAGACTGTTTCCCCAACTGCCACGAAGTCCCTCCTCCAGGGCCCAGGCCATGACTACGCTACAGATCTCCTCGAACATGCTGAAATCGCAGGAGGCTCATGTCAGTGCCTGATACGGAGGCAGCTGGGCAGCCCCAGAACTGGTGTTTACATTCCACTGTACATGCCCTCCCGCTTCAGACTCCACAGTGATAGTGACCTCGCAGGTGCCTCCGTGATGGTGGTGTGGGAAGCGCTCTGCGTTCTGGCCAGGCATTGTCAGGAGGACCCCATTCCTGGGACTTTGCCGAGGCATCCAGTTAGGCAGTGTGGTTGAGGGATGGTGAAGATGGACAGGAAGGGTGAGTGAGACCCCACAACCACCCTGTGGCCTTGACCATGTTTTTGTTCTCCTTGTCCCCATGGTACTCCATAGTCCGCTGGTGATGGCCCTGTCCTACTG